CATCCCCTCCCATGGGCAGAAAGGCAGCTCTGTGCTGGTGGGGGTCTGCAGACTCAGCCTGGCAGAGTGACCGCGCAGAAGCCTGGCAAAACTCCCCTGGAAGGGCCAGGTGCTCCAACTGGCTGCCGACACACGCCTGTGTCATAGCCGTGCTCAAGAACGTGGTTCTGTTTTCAAGGTATGGAGTGAGCTGAAGCTTCCCGCCAGGGCTGAGAGTCCTCAGGTTTGCTTTCTGGACGCCTGTCTGGAAGGAGGGTGAAGAACAGGGAGGACGACACCTTATTCGCAGCAGAGCAGACATTAGTCTGGTGGGAGATCGCGTTAATGATTCTGTTTAGAAACTTTAGTCAAACAAAGGCGTGCTACAACCCTGCCAGGGGCGATGGCAGGCACAGTGGGATTTCAGCTAAGCCGATGCACAACTCGTACTGGGGAGCCCAAGGACCCGGCTTCGCAAGCACACAAACCCACAGGGTCGACACAAAGGCCCTGGCACAGAGAACCCCCAGGAGCGGAGTGGCCGGGAATGTGGGATGGGGCGCTGCAGCGGACGGCCAGGTGATGCTCACGTGCACCGACCTGGCACTCCATGCCAGGTGCCCACGGCACCCTCCCGCCTCCTACTGCTCACCATGGACGGACGGCCAGGTGACGCTCACGTGCACCTACCTGGTGCTCCACAATGCCCACAGCGCCATCCCGCCTCCTACTGCTCACCGCGGACAGCCAGGTGACACGCACGTGCACCCACCTCGCGCTCCCGATGCCCACGGCGCCCTCCCACCTCCTACTGCTCACGGAGGATGGCCAGGTGACACTCACGTGCACCGACCTGGCGCTCCACAATGCCCACAGCGCCATCCCACCTCCTACTGCTCACCGCGGACGGCCAGGTGACACCACGTGCACCGACCTGGTGCTCCACAATGCCCACGGCGCCGTCTCGCCTCCTACTGCTTACTGCAGACAGCCAGGTGACACGCACGTGCACCCACCTCATGCTCCCGATGCCCACGGCACCCTCCTACCTCCTACTGCTCACCGCGCTGGCTCTGGGGCCCAGGTGCTCTCATCTGTGGAACCTCCACGATCAGCCCAGGGCTGGACTGTGGAGGTTCCATATCAGTCTCTGTGCATCCTATGGACAGATTCGGCGGCACCTGGTCTAGAAGGATAGAGAGCATGCACGGTCCACGCAGATGGCGTCCAGACAACAGGACAATGCTTGTGGGAGTGTTTTCATGTGATGTATATCCCTGCAGGGCTCTGTGTGAGGGGAAGCAGCCTGCCTCCGGGCGTGTTAAAGCAAGCAGTAGGGACAGCCTTTGAAGGGGACAGTAAACATCAAGTCCCAGGCCAACGCTCCTTAGGGCTTGCCTTCCCAAACACCAGACAGCAAGGCATCTACGCCCTCTTCTCCCCCACACCCTCCTCAGAGACTCCTGAGCCCGCGAGGGCACAGATGGGGCAGACCCAGCCTAGGCTGACCCACGGGTCTGTGCTCCGGATACACAGGCCAACGCTGCGCAAGGACCTGCCTGGAGGGGCTTCTGATGTGCACACGGGCCCCCTCCATCTGGCCCCCTGGGGCCCTTGGCCCTGCGGGAGACAGACAAGCCCTTGTGTTCCCAGAGGCCCCAAGGGCAGCGGGAAGCTGGTTTCCCAGGAAGTGCTGCCAACACGTGAAAAGCCCCATGCCTGCAGCCAAGCGCTCTTGACCACCAGCCCCCAGAGCTGAGGGATGCCCAGAGGCTGGCCCGAGGTGTGGCAGTAGGAGGGCCTGAGGCTGCTGGAGCCAGCAGGAGGATTGGCCAAAGTCCCTCCCCCATGGCTGTGGGCAGGGTGTGCCAGGTGCTGACTTGCTGAGGGAGTGACCAGCAAACAGCATAGGGAACGGCCTCCACCTAGTCTGACCACCCTAATCCCACAGGACTTTCTAACAAGCACTTGGCTCCAGAGAGTCCGGGCCCTCTGTAAGACCACGCTCGCTCCAGCTCCAGACTTTGGTTCAGCCAGAAGGCCATCACTGCCCCCTGCTCCCACTCCAGACTAGACTTGCTGACTCCGGCAGCAGACCACACCACTGAGGGCAGCTGGGCCTGGCCCCAGCACCCCATCCTCCAGGGAGGCCGCCGCCCTTTCTCCTCCCCGCTCTTATGAGCACCTTCGGCTGGGAGTTAGCTGCCTCCCTCCTTCCTCTTTTCTTCTAAAGCTCTTACTACAGGTGGGCACTGCAGAAAGTGCCCCCGATGCCCACGAAAGCCTGACTCAGTATTACGCCCTGCACAGCCTACCCTCCCACAGGTCTGCTGTCACTCGCTCCCCTAACAAGCGTCTGTGGCTTACCAAGTGCCAGCACTGCTGGTCCTCCACGTCTCCCTTCCTGCCCCTCCACGGGGGAAGCCCCTCCCTGTGTGCCTCAGCAAACCTACAGGACCCAGCGTGATGCTCTCCTCCAAATGGCAAAGCAGAGGTCCCTGAGGGCAGGGCCACGCAGCACACACAAGATGGTTCTGAAATTACCTGCTCTAGCCCGTACCTTTGGTGAGAAGTAAATGAAGCTCAAAAGACTCTCCGCAGAGAGACCACAGGGCTTTCTTTGGGACAAGTTGCCTTCCACAGGTGAGGGGACTCGCTGGGATGCAGCTGCAGTGGCACATACACGGGTCAGAGCCGGAAAGGCCAGGGTGAGGGGACTCGCTGGGATGTGCTGCAGCGGCACATACACGGGTCAGAGCCGGGCAGGCCAGGGTGAGGGGACTCGCTGGGATGCAGCTGCAGCGGCACATACACGGGTCAGAGCCGGGCAGGCCAGGGTGAGGGGACTCGCTGGGATGCAGCTGCAGCGGCACGTACACGGGTCAGAGCCGGGCAGGCCAGCTCGCTGAGCAGTGCCGCTCTGCCCTGCAACATCCAGCATGAAGATGACGACGACAAGCATGGCCGCCCTAATACCAACTGCAGAGTGATTCTGGGGCCGGTATCATGAGCAGGGCCTGCCTGAACATTCCTCAAGAGGAGGACACTTTGGGGACCAGCAGTTAGCATAATGGCTATGCCGCTGAACTCCCATGTAGCCAACTGTGGTTCGAGTCCCAGACCCGGTGGCTTAAACTCACACCAGCCGCGTGTGTGTGCCCAGGATCCCGAGAGGAGACTGGAGGAGAAGGGATTGCGGTGTGGCCATCCCCCCTGGGGGGTGATTTCTCGCTTTCTGTCTCTCTGTCTCTGTCTTTCTGGCGAGCGCACGTGCAAAATAAAAACCTCTCAAAAAAAAAAAAATTTAAGAAAAAGAGGAGGACACTCTTGTCTCGGAACTATCGCAGCTGAGACCCTAACAGGCAGCTAAGAGCTGAAATCAATGGTGGGACGCCTTAAATCTACTTGATTTAACATATGCTGACGGTACAAGCTGGCAATGTCCGCCTAGACTTTGTTTAACAAGCAGCTGAAGACTTCTGTAATTGCACTATATTTAGCTACTAAATGTTTCTAGCAGCTTCTACCACCAGATGGGGAATTCAGACCAAGCGACGAACACACTGCAGGAACAGAGCGTGGACTGATGTGCTGATGGCCTCCTGCTCCCACGTCCGCCCTGGCCCCACCACTGCTCTAACCTCACAGTACCAGGATGTGGGTGCCACTGCTACCACCATTTTACAGATTGGAAAATTGAAGCAAAGGAAAGTTAGCGACTTGCCCAAAGCAGACCAGGCAGTAAGTGTCGAGGCCAGGAGCCAGAGTACCTGCGACCCCTGCTGGTCTGCAGCATCAGGGCCTTCTCAGTGTGCCCACCCCCAAGACCGAGGCAGGTGCTGATTAACATCAGGCAGCAATGACAGCTCTCAAACAGGGCCGCGGACCCTGAAGGCCTCTATCTGCACTTCGGGCTCAGTGTTGAAAAGGACAAGGATCTGCGTTTCTAAAGGCCTGCGTTGGGGAGGTCACAAGGCTCTGAAAGCTGCTGCTGGGACAGCAAGCGGGGCTGCCTCCCTGTGGGCCTGTACCTGTGAGGGGGGCACAGCCGTCCCGAACTCCAGCATTGTTCCAGAGCCCCTCTAAACTACGCCTTGAATACCTTAGACCATGGCCTCAGATGGTGCTTGACCTCTGACAAAATTATATACCCAATAACTCAGGGTTTATATAACTACTTCCTGCTGGTCCCAGCAAATGTCAGGGCATCACCTCCACCTCTCTCACCATGGGAGGCCCCTGTGCCAGGAAGCTCTGACGTAGGTTTGACTCTCATCTCATCCTGGGAGCCTCCCTCAGAGGCTAGAAGGGATGACGATCCCCAGGCTCAGATCAGTCAAGCAACTTGCCCAAGGTTGCACAGCTAGTAAAGCCCAGCTGGAATCAGAACCCAGACCTTTCCAATGTCAGAACTAGTGCCCTGTCTACAGCTGCCAGGAGAACTCCAGCAGCTGGCCCTGCTCGGCTCTGAGTCATGTACTTGCCCGCTGCTGCTGCGTACCAGCAATTTCCTGTGCCCAAGGAAAGTAACTTTTCCCAAAGAGAGGCTGGCCAATCCCAAATTTTGGTGACAAAATTTGATAAAGAGAAAAAAAAAAGGACTTTCCTTTAACCCGCAGACAGGACAAGGGGGCCTCAGGAAGAATAACTTTCAAAACAAGTACAAAATAACCTAATCAGGAAGGGAGTTCCTCACAGCCACAGCCCAGTGGACAGATGCCTGCTGGCCTGCACTGCTAGCCTGATGTCACATCCCGGCCACCCTCGCTTCTATGCAAAACTCGGAAGTCAAGGTTTTGCGGGTAACAGCCTAGCCTGAGACCGTGTGTGAAGCTCCCCATCACAGAAGGGAGGACGGGGAATTGACAGCCACAAGACCTTTCAGACACCCCAACCTCTTGAAGCGTCAGACTTTTCTATCAAGGCGAGCTCACCGCCTTCACGGGTAGCTCAAACCCAAAGCCCTGCCAGGCACTATGGGCTGCTCCCTGCCCTCGTCAGGAAGAGAGCACGGTTCTTACCTCCCAGAAGCTGTCGCTGGACACTTCTACTCCCACGGAATCATCATAGGTGACAGACATTTCTCCAAAGGGTGAGGGTGCAGCAGACAATCCTTAGACCCAATGCTGTGGATGCTCAGAATCTGTAGACAAACCTATAAAAGGAGAATTTTTAAATTCCCAAGAGCAATCATCTCCATTTTACACCTCCGCCTCCCACACAGGACAGTCTGAGACCACCACAGGCAGGAGCCCAAGTCCTCGGCTTGGCACCGCAAGGTGGAGCTGGGTGGCCAGCACGCTCCGAGCACCCACGTCCTGGGCACCGCTCCACGTGCTGCCACGGTCACCCTCACGATTCCCTGTGAGGGACAGGCTCTAGGATCAGGCTGCCGGGCTCAGACTCCAGACCCAGTATTCACCAGCGGGCACCACCGAGCAAGTTACCTACTGCTCTGTGCCTCGATGCCCTTATCTGTAAAAGCCGGTAATGGAACCTCCATCGCACAACTGCTGAGACTCAGACCCATCATGCTCTGTGTAATGATGCTTCAGTCAGGGACAGACTGCACACGCGACGGCGGCCCCAGGTTACCGTGGAGGCCAGACAGTGGTGCCACCGTGAAACGCAGTGCTCAAAGG